TGGTACTCAATGGTTCCACACTCATACAAGGGTTGGAACTAACTATTTTTGAATGTTTGCTTAGGAATACTTTTATTTAAAAATAATAATAGTAATGATAACTTTGAGTTTGAGTGTGTTTGTTGATTATAAGTTGAGCTATGTATATTATACATCAATAACATTTCTCAGGACATAAAAACTGAAAACAACTAAGAGAGAAATTTCACCTTATCGTGTCTCGAGCAGACAGCTTGTTTTTTGGGCTGAAGTAGATGCACCGTGAGTTATTAAGTTGTTCATTGATCTAATCGTGAGTCATGTTCTTCGCTGTTCACAGTTGATCTGCATACATAATAATGACAATATAATAATGACAGCACTAAAAATTCAAAATTTTAGTGCTGACTTCCTTCATCAGCTGAATACTATTACACACCATCAGTGGTACAATAGCAGTGTTATTGCAACGTTCGAGTTTCCAAAAAAAAGGCCACATTGGTTTTTCAGTATATTTGATGATTCAAATATGTTATACTATTTATAATACAATTTATTAGCAGAAGACATGACCACAGTGAGCAGCTCCTTTGAATGTTGGCATAGAAATACTTCATTCGTAACTTTATGATAATATAATAATGATTACATGTGTTATGTTCACCTAAATGTAACTGCATCTGTGCTGATAGAATTCATCAGCACAATATAAATAATGGTTTACAATAATAGACCTATATGCATATGAAAGCTTCCCAAAAAACTAACATTAGTGGGTCAGTATATTTGATGATAAAAAGTTGTAACTACGTATAGTAAAAGGTACTATTAGCAGAAGAAATGTCCACAGTGAGCAGCTCTGATGGGAGGTCTGATTGAACTGTAACCACCATCACTGTGTTTGCTGCTTCCACAAAAACTCCAGTTTATTAAATACTGATCAACATCTGATGGTCGTTGTACGTTGACACCCTGAACCAACATGTGGATAGTTTGGAAACCCACTTTTGATGTTGAATTGATGTATTTTAAATACTTTGAAGAGAGAAATGAGTGGGAAAAGCCGCTGATCACTGCTGTCCACGGCGCTGAGTAGGTGAGGTTTGGAGGCTCCTCAAACAAAACGCATTGATCATCAGAGCTCTACGTGACCTGAACACGAAGAGAAACTAGTCCGCTATCGGCTCCTCCACCTTCAGCCTCCAGCACCTGATGCACATTTAGTTTTTAGTCTTTAATCAGTGGAGAGAAAACACAAGTGACTCGACTTTCAGACTGCACGAGGAGCGCCGGGCTGGGTTGAGTCTCTACGGTTCTCATGGTGCGTTTAAGTTCAGTCCGCTGCTTTGAGCTCTTCATCAGTCTCACTCTCTCGAGTCCTCGACGACACAAACGCACAACAACGGGACAACATGGCAGAAGTAGCTCCAGCTCCAGCCGCCGCCGCGCCCAAAGCAGCCAAGAAGAAGGTGTCCAAGCCGAAGAAGGTCGGCCCCAGCGTCTCTGACCTCATCGTGAAAACTGTGGCCGCATCCAAGGAGCGGAGCGGCGTGTCTGCTGCCGCCGTCAAGAAGGCTCTGACCGCCGGAGGATACGATGTGGACAAGAACAAGGCCCGCGTCAAGACCGCCATCAAGAGCCTGGTGGCCAAGGGGACTCTGGTCCAGGTCAAGGGGATCGGGGCTTCCGGCTCCTTCAAGATGAGCAAGACCACCGCCGACAAACCGGCAAAGAAAGCCGCTCCTAAAGCCAAGAAGCCCGCGGCGAAGAAACCCGCAGCGGCCAAAAAGCCCAAAGCAGCGGCAGTGAAGAAAGTTGTAGCCGCTAAGTCACCGAAGAAGGCCAAGAAACCCGCAGCGGCCAAGAAGGTGGCCAAGAGCCCCAAGAAGGTAGCAAAGAGCCCCAAAAAGGTGGCCAAGAGCCCTAAGAAGGTGGTGAAAAAGGCCCCTGCAGCCAAGAAATCTCCAGTGAAGAAGGTCGCTAAGCCCAAAGCCAAGAAAGCAGCACCCAAGAAGAAGTAAACTGATGTGACAAACACTTCCATAAAAGGCTCTTTTAAGAGCCACCCACTCCTTCCTCAAAGAGCTTTGCCTTTATTTTTTTTTCAGACTTTATAGTGTTTTGACTTCTTAAAATTATTTTAATTTACTGTATTTAATTGAACTATACAACTGCTGGTGGGAACATTTAGGAAATCCACTATTTTCGAGCCAACATGAGCTTCTAAAGACCATTTTATAAGAAAATATGGTTTTACTTATTCAAGGACAAAACCTGCAGTTCTTTGATATCCAAATGTTGCTCAGACTCCAGAATTTGGCCCATCCATCATCACTGAACATTTGTTTTAAATGGAGAAAATGTACATTTCAATTAAACATGTATAAGATTGTAAGAATTAGGACAATTCCAAGTAAATACTGTTATAATACATTTAAAAAATAAACCCATCAGGAAATAGTTTGTAGACTAGGTGTGAAGCTATTTCAACATGGAGCAGATAAGGCACAAATGGCAAAACATTCCCTCAATTATGTGGAGCAGAAGCCAAGAAGAAGTGAGCTGATATCAGTCTGAAGAACAAACACCTCCATTAAAGGCTCAATCCTTCCTTAAAGAGCTTTTTTCCTGCGAGACTATTCTACAAAGAAATCTTGTATAATACATCTTTATTATACAAAAGCATCCAAATGTTGCGTAAAGTAGAAAACATGTTTTTGATTGTCACAGCCTGCGAAAGAGCATCCGGTTATTGAAACCTTTATATTACCCATCTCATGCTACAATCAATTTAAATTCTAAAGGAATATTTAATATTTGTATTGAATAAGAGTGGCTCCTTTAAAATGTCAAATCCTTATTTTTCATTCTGTAATCTTGCCTGTTTGTCTTCCTGTTCCCTTTCTCTGAAAGTGAATCCATCTACATCAAGTGTCAAACAATGTCTAAACGGTTTTATGCTTCAGCTGCAGTAGTGTCCTTTCTACGCGATACATTAAAAGGTTGTGAGGTATTCATTAACTTGTGTGACTTTATTGGGATTATCTTAATAAGTAGGACCACATAATAGACACAGGAGGATCACATCTCTTTTCGTGTGGGTGGGTGGCTCTTAAAAGAGCCTTTGTGGTAGATGGAGGTCTCCGGCTTTACTTCTTGGCGGGCTTCTCGGTCTTCTTGGGCAGCAGCACCGCCTGGATGTTGGGCAGCACGCCGCCCTGAGCGATGGTCACTCCGCCCAGCAGCTTGTTGAGCTCCTCGTCGTTGCGGACAGCCAGTTGAAGGTGACGGGGGATGATGCGGGTCTTCTTGTTGTCGCGGGCGGCGTTTCCAGCCAGCTCCAGGATCTCAGCGGTCAGGTACTCCAGCACTGCCGCCAGGTAGACGGGGGCTCCTGCGCCGACGCGCTGCGCATAGTTCCCTTTGCGCAGATGCCTGTGGACGCGACCGACTGGGAACTGGAGTCCAGCACGAGAGGAGCGGGTCTTTGCCTTCGCTCGGGCCTTTCCACCGGTTTTGCCTCTGCCGCTCATTGTTAGACTGTTTCAGGGAAGGAAGTGTGTGTGAACGCGTCAAACCCTCCTTTATATGTCCGCGGAGCGGGTGGGACGGTTCCTGACGCGCGCACCAACCAGAGAAGAGGCTCCAGACAGGAAGACAGAGGGCGCGAGCTCACAGTTTTTGGCGGACATTTTTAAATCATTTTCCGCCAATGAGCAGCGGAGACTCGCTCGTAGAGTCGCGGCTGAGCTCCAGGAGGAGTCCTCCACCAATCAGGGGCCGGAGGTCTGAATCAGCGTCACCGCTCCTCAGCCGGTCCACACTTTAAGAGCCGGGTGTCTCCTCTCAAAGTTCACTTCTCTTAATCAGAGTGACACTAGTCGATTATGGCACGAACCAAGCAGACCGCTCGTAAGTCCACCGGAGGCAAAGCCCCAAGGAAGCAGCTGGCCACCAAGGCCGCTCGTAAGAGCGCCCCGGCCACCGGCGGCGTGAAGAAGCCTCACCGTTACAGGCCCGGCACCGTGGCCCTGAGGGAGATCCGTCGCTACCAGAAGTCCACGGAGCTGCTGATTCGCAAGCTGCCCTTCCAGCGTCTGGTGAGAGAGATCGCTCAGGACTTCAAGACCGACCTGCGCTTCCAGAGCTCAGCTGTTATGGCTCTGCAGGAGTCCAGCGAGGCTTACCTGGTGGGCCTGTTCGAGGACACCAACCTGTGCGCCATCCACGCCAAGAGGGTCACCATCATGCCCAAAGACATCCAGCTGGCCCGTCGCATCCGCGGTGAGCGAGCTTAAACACCCTGATTCTACTCCCAACAACGGCTCTTTTAAGAGCCACCTCACTCTCTGTAAAGAACTCATTCCTTAACGTGACCATTATCAATTCAGTGGAAAACACTGAGGGGGAACAGTGTCAGACATTCCCTGGATCTCATGAATGACTGCCTACATGAAAGACACCGCTGTCACCAAACGGTACCTCGGAACATCTCAGTGAAATAATCCAGAACATACCTGCACATAGGGCATTTGGTGTCTGACTGTCCAGAACATCTTATTCCCGCTGAAAGATTGCAGAAAAGATTGTGGGAAATATTTTAATGTGCATGTTACTTTTTTCCAGCTGTCATGAATAATCGATCATATGCAGTGCTTGTCATCGGAGGTGCGTTCTGCTGATGACATCTTCCATTGCTACCACAAGGTGGTACCATAATACAGATTCTTAAACTGAACATGTTTGTAAGTCATTTGTTAGTAGTTATTTCTCTGTGCCGTTCAACCCCTCTGAGATTGGTGCACCCACTTTTTGATCAAACAATAACAATATTTTGTATTGCTAATATAAACCATTCGACCATGTACATTATTGGTGAATTGACTAAAGTCATGAGCAATTTAAACTCAAAATACTAATTTTAAAAGACCATTGCTACACATGCCACGTAGTAGTTTTCACCTGTTCCACAGCAAAATTATGGTGTGTAGTATAACAAAAAATAGACACGCTAGACCAACTGATTCATTAATATCCCACTTTCGTATTTATTCTTAAACTAAAAGCACCACTATAAAGCTAGTGTTACACATATTTATAATGCAATGACACGTTCTACATGACAACCGGTGTTGCATATTATACAGATTCTGAAGCCACCTCAGGCCATTTCGTTACTTGTGATTTTGGTCTACATGAAGATAATTGATTTGACGAGAATTGAAACATACACACCTGCAGAGAAAGGCATGAAGGCCTCTGGTTTCACAAACTCCCTGGTCATTGAGGAAGTTTTCAGGGTTGAATTCATTTGGGAATTTACATTGGCCCTCCTCATTCAGCACTGAGGTGAGATTAGGGATGATCAGAGTACCCTGTGGACAAGACATGAATAAAAAGAGGAATGAATAATTTGCAGAGATGTACATTCCCAGCAGAGACGCCTACATTGTTTTACACAATAGTGACAGAAAAGACAGGACCAGTTGCTTCTTACCTTGGGGATGGAATATCCATTGAGCTCTGTGTCTTTAGTTGTACAGTGGAAGACGCTGAGTGGAACAGTGTTGGCTACTCTCTGGAATTCATGGATTACGGCCTGGATGAAGAAATATTTAAACATCATGTTCCCATACTTAAACACCGGCTCTCAAAAGATCAGCCACACAAAAAAAGCAGCAAAATGGGAACTGGCACGAAGATTGGTATATATGTGAAATGTGAATTGAATTTATCCCAAGGATGTACCCACGGGTGAACATATTGAATCCAAGATTTATTGGCTATGAGAAAAGTGTGAGATTTACCTGCACATAAGGCATGTTGTTTCTGTCCTCAGAACTGGCCTGATCCTTTCCCTCCAGCACCATGTCTATCTCCTGCTGACAAATGCTCTGACAGAAACATGAAGGATGATAATACAAATTTGCAATATTTTTGATAAATTGGAAAATAGTATTATAGGAGTGGATCAATGTTAAACCTATGCAATAGTGGAGGGGAATTCATCCTAATACGTGGCGTCACCGATAAATAACAAAGTCATTAAAAAGTCTTCTGAGCACTTATTGTAAGTCGCTTTGGATAAAAGCGTCAGCTAAATGTCATGTAATGTAATTTTTTTCAATGTTGGAAATGACCTGATTTTCAGGGAATGGTGAACAAGGTTAGTTGGTTTTGTTCGCAAGTAGGTGTCTCTGCTCTAGCCCAAACAATGTAGACATTCATATTTTACATATCTGTCGACATTAATGTTAATGTAGCGTGAATGAAATCGCTTTGATATGGCTTCTTTCAACTTTGACAAAGAAATATACCGGGCAAGACATTTATGAGAAACCAGACTTCAAACTGATCGCGTCAGTAAACTAAAGAATCTTTTTCTTGTGTTTTACCGACCTTCATACACAACGACACCTATATATTTTCCATGACCTATTCATCAGCCGGGCTTTGATCAGTACTTTCCTCTATGAACCAAATATGTTTTTTCAGAAACTGATACATGACTCAGGGTGAACTAGCTGACCATATACACGTGCATAGTTAGCAGCTATTAAGGCTTCTTTGAGACGCATGGGTGAAACTACTAAACTACTAACTACAGCCTTGAAACTGAAGCAGTCCAATGGAATTCAGCAATCGTTGATTTAATTATTTACACCTGCCAATTTCCTACTTCAAACTGCCTTCTGTTGAAGAGGCTGTCTTTCTGGAATTTGCCAAAGGCCTCTAACAATGACCCGTGGTACACTCGTGAGGGTGGATCTTATTGTCTCAAAGGTGAAATTTGTTGAGGGGGAAAAAATGAAAGCCTTTACTGCAGGGACACACTTGATCTATTGCTATTACAAACACTACACTAATCATTCATAACTGGAGTGAGAGCTTTCTGCATATTTGTAGCTAAAAGTTGCATCTTGTCACTTATAGGTTAGGGCTAAGAGGTAGGGTCGATTTACATCAATTCGGAAGCGCAATAGTTCCCTCCATGGCATCATCAACCAGCATGCCACAGTGTGCTTGGGAAAGACACTTAACCGGTAAACAGTTCCCCAAGGCTGTGCTGTCCCTTTTTAAGAAAGAGACATTAATTTAATGAGACAATTGATACGTGTTCCAAAAAAAATACCTTTTCAATTCAGGACTTTTACAAAAAGTATTTCTGTATAAAAGAATCTACGATACAAACAATTATGAGCATTCCTTTGTAGAGTATTTGCATACCTTGTACTTGTGGGTAGTTCATTAAGTAGAGGAAACCAGTAAGGAGAGTGTTGGAAGTAGTGTCAGTCCCAGCAAAGTGAAGATCCAGAATGTACATAGTCAACTGCGCTTCTGAAAAGGACGACCGATCATCACCCGGCTAGAGAGAGGAGAATGACAATGCAAATGTGAAACTTCAAACTTTAAGGGCAATATTAAGTTGTTCATAATCATACCGTCATAAGGGGTTGCGTCAAAAAATTGGAGAGAAATGAAGACGCTGAAGACATTTTAATGCTGATTGACCAAGACTCGACACGTCACATCTAAAATGTTTTGCTGCAAAATCATGACATCGCCTTTTCTCCTTGTCTCAGTCCTATCTCAGAAACGCTGGCTGGCCAGTTCACCCAACCCCCTGCACCTCCCCCCCCCTCCCAATCCTAAACTTTTGCCAAAAAACAACAAGTTTGCATTATTCAAAAATGTACCCATCTTTTCTGTGTTCAATGATTCACCTTATCCAGCCGATCCAAGTAGCAGTCAACAAAGTCGCGCGGCTCTCCAGGCACTCTGGTCTGCTTGTGCTCATTCATCAAAGTTTTTGCAATCTTCTGACATGTCTGAAAAACATTCACGTCAACATTCATAATTTATAATCTACTTTCAATTGACAAAATGCATGCAGAGAGAGAGAGAGAGAGAGAGAGAGAGAGAGAGAGAGATTAACCTACCTCAACGTTCTTAAAGGCCTGTCTGAAGGGCAGTGGCAGGCTTCTGATCAAAGGAAAGGAGTCATAAAGCTGTGTAAATGAAAAGAACACGCAATTTTAGATTATTCAATATCAAACATTCTGCATCTTGGCATGAATCAGTCTGAACAAATTATTTTATTATCACATATGGGCTAAGATTCTGTGCTTTGCAGGAAAACAACTCTTCTGTGAGTCAAGGCGAGTAGGTTTGCAAGGATACACATCAATCCATGCTTACGATGCAAGTGCACAGTTTATTCGGACCGTCAGTTACTTTAGTGTGGCTTTGGGAAATTCTGGACTGAAGTTACGTCTTTGTGCACCCCTCGACTGGCAAACCAACGTTTGCGGAGATCTCCATCCATGAATTGGAGGCCAGCGACGGGTCCGCCATAATCCGCCAATGACGGGTTGTAGAAGTGGTCATATTTGCGGATTTCTTTTTTTTTTCTTGCGGATATTTCCGACAAAAGCTCTTCAATCTGATTCATTCTCTCGTAAAAAATCTTCGTTTTAATAATGGCAGTATTAGGCTATGAAACTGAGACTCCGGAAACGATGTAGTTAGCAGACTAATCACAGCCTTGCGGCCTGCAGGAGGCTTGCGTAGTTTTGATGCCAGTCTAGAAAAATGTGTCGACTCACGCAAGGAGGGGTAAAAAAGGCACGCAAGGGGCTCTTGAAAACGCGCATGCATAAACTAGGCTTAACTCTCGCGGTTAGACAATTGTCAGCTTTGCAAGCAACACTACCATTAGCTCCAATTGTAGCTTCTTGATTTGGGCCAACGGACAAACAAAACAAAAAGGCTGAGTATGTGGTAAACGTTATACCTGCTAACAACCATCTTAGCCTGCTAAAGTTGGCTCTAATCACCACCGATCACTGAAGTACGGCTCCACTGAGCCGCAAGCTTAACTGAAGTCAGAAGTATCTGATATTTCTGAGCGACATTTGAAGGCAGAAGCATGCCTACTCAGAATAGCCCACGGCCCATTGGCTATCTTGGCATTCTCGGTGAAGCATTGAACAAGTGTTTTCATAGTCTCATCCTGATACTCAAAGCGTTTTCCAAATAGAACCTGGCAGATGATGTTGGAGGCCGCATTGTGAAACATGTTTTGAGGACTGAAGGATTTGCCTGGAGAAGACAAAATGTCCACTTAAGTACAACACAGTATTGTGCAACAAAATTAACTTACCAATTAACAAGCAAAAATAATCTATCTTTCACATTAGGCAAAATTACATCACATGTCATTTAGCTGATGTTTTTATCCAAAGAATCTTACAATAAGTGCATTTCAACCATAAGAATACAGACAAAGGAATAATAAACAAGAAAGTGCAATTTCATCGAGCTCCACATTGTAACATTATCAAATATTAGTAATTCGATTTCAGTGTCCCTGATTAAAGTGAACGCTGCCATCCATGGGAGGACAGATGACATACCAATGCTCTTCTCCAGCGTGTCCACAGTATATTGTATCTCTCCATGAATCCTCTCCTCCATGCTGTCCTTCCCCATTCCAAAGTTCCTCAAGTTCATCAGAGCAAAGCGACGTTGCTCCTTCCAACTAGAACCGTAATCTGCCAGAATCACTCCTGTAAAAGGCAGAGTGGCACAAAAGCATACATAGAAATGTCTCAAGATATCAGGGTTTACAGTACTTTGATTATAGCAGAGTTTCTCCAGAGCTTGTTAACTTTCTAGCATGATTTATCTTTTCCTCTCCTCAATATGTTAATGAGAAGATAGATGGTTCCTTCAATGCATAAGACCATGTTGTTTACTTTCTTACATAAGAACTAGAATGACTTTGCGTGTCACCATCTCGTTTGGACTAATTGTGTAATGTTGTGCAATGAAAGGGCTTTTACAGCCAACAGAATTGAATGGAGTTTGACTTTAAGTAAACAAAAAGAGGAACAACATGGCTTTCAGAAAAGACTTGGTTGTTGGAATAATATAGAGTGTCGCCTAACATGTGAGTGGGCAACTGCAGGACAAGTGCATACAAGTTTGATGACTGATGAATGGAGGTCAAGGTTTGATGAAGAAAGGCGATAAGTCCTCTCCAGCTCTGCCTCTTTTTCTCTGGTTAACTGAATTGTAAAACATACATCAGTTACATAAGACTCTTTTTTTCCCTCCTTTTGATTAGAGAGGTGCCTTCAAACCAAATGCAGCTGCTCTGTATTAAACAAAAACTTAATCCTATAACCCCGGTTTAAGCCTCCCTTCACTGGTTACCGGTAAGTGTGGGATTTATCACCTTTAAAAGGCACTTTGGAGTTTACGTCCTAGTCATACTGCTGAATTGCCGCCCCCACATGAGCCAGATCATTCAACAAAGATGATTATAGTCTCCGAGTGACCTTCATATACTGTATAGCTCAGGTGCCTGCTTCTACCTTCTCAATATTTCCTATCATGCTGTTGAATAGGTCACACATTTCAACGTACTTTGTGATAATTGCAATAAAAAAACTGCACATTGACCCTTGTCAACAGTGGGTGAGTGGGGAGCACGGTCGTCCTCCAATCAGAGGGTTGGTGGTTCGATCCCAGGCTCTGCTAACCCCCCATGTCGATGTGTCTTTGGCAAGACACTTAATCCAACATTGCTCCTGTAGCTGTGACTACAGTGTGTAGTTGTAGTCGGAACGGGTGAATGATGTCATGTAGTGTTAAAGCGCTTTGAGTTGTCGGAAGACTAGAAAAGTGTTGTAGAGTCCATTTACCATTTGTTTTAATAACATATATTGTGGGAGCTATAATCCAGTTATTTATTCTAAAATATAGTTAGTTGGGTTAAGTGGAGCAGTAATTAGGTAATACTGTGGGCACCCGCAGGTTACTTAAGGGCATAGCCAGGTAGGACCAGCATGCACCTGGGTGACTAATAGTTTTTTTTACCAGTAGTAATTAGGTAATACTGTGGGCACCCGCAGGTTACTTAAGGGCATAGCCAGGTAGGACCAGCATGCACCTGGGTGACTAATATTTTTTTTTACCAGCGAGATAGCGAGCCAGAGCACTGCATAGGAAGGTAGCCAAGTTTTATTGTATGTGTTTGGCGGACTCTGCAAATGAATGTAAACAAAAGGAATCGATTGCCTTGACAATCCACTTTATTGCTGCCTGACAAAAACAAAGCAGTAGGTGCAGCCAGTGGCTCTTTGTTTTAAAGATTTGTAGGACAAATGGCCACTACATATATACTTACACTGGTGACTGTCCCATCTCTATATGGACAAAGATAAGCAAACATTGGAATGTTGTGTTGCTCTTTTTAAATAAGCTATGATGGACGATACATTTATTAGCTGCTCATTGAAACATCATGTATGTCCTACCTTTTCTCTGGGTGCTGTCATTGACAAACAGGTCTTGGGGTCTTCCAGCGAAATCGACACCCTTGGTCACCAAAGCCTCCTTTATGGTCTTCATCCCATTCATGACTACTACTGGTTTGGGACCGAGAAATAAACTATAGACATTTCCATAGGTCTTCTTCAACTGGGAGAAAAGAAGATGGCATGGTAGTGTTTTAAATAAGTTAACTTTAGATGGTTATTTACATTCCAACAATTCAATATAATCAAAACAACACGTTTTCTGATATAGTTAGATCTTTATCCTCTAACCTGGGAAATTAGGTTAGCAGCGTTGAAAATATTGGACGAGCTTAAACAAACTCATCAACAAATTAAGATGAAATAATGTAATTCATGAGAATCATCACATAATGAAAACATTAGGAGAAAAATTAAAACAACTAACAGCACATTACATCAAGCACCTGACCTTGGGCCTTGCAAGTACTACTTTGTGTGCAAGTTAGACAACACCTAATAATGCGTGACCTCAGCTACTGGTTGGCCATAGTCCAGTAGTTAAGAACACAGACTGTCAACTCTGTACAGGGAAAACGTCCGTAATCACCTATTGCGAGTAAAATAGAAGCTTAATGACTCGAGACTTAAAGACTTGTCACGTTTTTATTTTTCACATTTTGCCAAACGTTTAAGTGTTGAAATGTTCTCAACACATTTTGTGATAGTGATTACATTCATACAATTACAAGAGAATGTATTGGAAGAGCCACATCGTCCGTTTCAGCTGTCTTACCCTCTCAAAGTCCTTCAGGGGGTTCTCCAGGCTCAGGTCCAAAATGTTCCCCAGTATCGGCCAGACTGGGGGTCCTGGTGGAAAGTTCTTGGGCCTTCGGGATTTGAGTTGAACGACGATGAAGACAACGCAGATTAACAGCAGTATTATTAACGCAAACATGGTGGAAGGGACTGAACTGAAGAGTTTACTGCTTTCTGCGAGTGTTTCTCGGTTCTGAATGCTGACTCCTGTAGTTATATTTTGCTCACCTGTGGGTGAGTGGGAAAATCAAACAGAAACAGGTTACACTTTGAGAGGCAATTCTTCCAGGATTTGGCTTGAATTGCCCACCAAAATATCAGTTTATATAGTGCTAAACGTTTTCCATAGTTTGACACAATTATTGTCATGGCTTGTTAATAGAGGTGAATACAGCAAACCAGTTACACAATACGATGTAGAGAAATGTTTTTTTTTTTCAGATACTGTAGTTAAAAATCAGAGGCATTTTCTTTTACCATGCACCTTCTACTTGACTACATTGCAGAAAGAAATATAGATTCTTAAACCTCTTCAATTATTCGTCAGATTGTTCCATACATATGAACATAGAGTGTCAACGATATTTATCCTTATAATTAAGGACCAATATCCCAAACATTTTACACTTCTACAGGTTCTCAAAAACTACTCATTTTATTTTTGTTGTATTAATTATTTCTATAGATAATCTTTTAACCTGTAGTCCGAAACTCAAAATGAATAACAAAAAATTCAATCATTTATAAAAGCGTTCGACATCTTTTCTCGTTTTTTTTTTCCGAAGCGCAGCGGCTGCTCGGGCCGATGAGTGACGCGTCCTGCAGAACATGCAGGCGACCCGAGTGAAGAAGTTGGTACCGAACCAACCACTTAGTCTTCATCCTCCCAAGTGTTTTCTTGTGAACCTGAAAATAAAGAACAAGTCTTACCTTCATATCGCTGCTTTTTAAAGCGTGGATCGGAATCACTATTAAACTCCCGTCATGAACGAAACCACCGCGCACAGGACGCGACTCTGCGGGCTGCTGTTGTTTCATGTGGTTACGCAACGATCTTGTCTGCGCAGTTAACTCCCTCTGAAGGTGGTGTATTAGCCAGCAGGGAAACAGGCCATTCATGCACTTTGGGTGTGGTCTAACTTCCACACAATATAATAGACAGAGAAAATATTGAAGGGATTTGAAATATTTGCAGCTCTGACAGCAAAGGCAAAGATCTTGTGGTGCACAATGCTGCAAAATGAAAAATATGATTAACTGGTTGACAAAGGCGTTTGCTGAAAACGTTTAAATAACAGAATGCGTTATTAAATAAGAGAAAAACCGGAAAAATCCCATTATTAAAATATTTTTATAGAAGGGGGGTGTGGGGGGGGGGGTATTATCTCTTTCAATCAGAATATAATACTCAAAGAAAAAAAGCATTGTTTAGTTGTTTGTTACTTTTACCTATACCGGTTTCATTTATACCGTAACTCGATTCCTGCAGGGGGTTGTAGCTTTTTTTATGGTGAAAATGCGAACCTTTGGGTCCCTAACCATGTTTGCCTTACGCACCGTATTCATGTTAGACTGTCGCTGTGTCTCAAAGTCGCTGGGCTGCATCCTTCAGCAGCCTTCGCAGACCTGGGCAGCAACCGCGTAGGCTGAACCGAGCGGTCTCTGAAGTGGGGCGGTCTGGCCTGCGGGGGACTTCCTGCCCGTTGCCCAGCAACCTGCTGGGCTTAAAAACAAACGCCCTAAAAGCCGAAAAATGTATGAAGTACCGATAAGTAAGGTCATTTTCTTCGTATTTAATTTAATTTAGGAAGATACGCTTCTCCTCCGGAGTATGATATATTTCACGCTGAGATAATTTTCCAAACATTTTCCGGTTAATGTAATGGTAATGTATAATACTTTTTATATAAAATTACTTTCAGCTAAAAGTAATATAAACAATATTAAGGCAGAGGAGATTCCATCAATGTTGTTACTAAAAACCAATTGACCAACACATGTATTAAGTTGTATGCAAGGACTTCTTATTTTTCTATTGAACAGGATACAAGCTATTTTAACCTTAAGATATTTCGGAATATGTCCAAGTTACAGCAGCTGAATGTCACCACACACATCGTTCTCCTTCAGCTTGATGCTGCTTCCTCCTGGTCCATAACACAACTAAATGTAAAGTTTATAATCACACAACAAAACAAAAGGAGCAAAGTGATTTAAGTTTCTTTGTGTATTTATTCTGTAACGTTCTAACTTAGAAAGTGATATTTCAGCTTTGACTACTTGAGCTCACTTTGATCCATAATATAATAATAATTATATTACATAATATAAAGTATAAACTACATATAAAACCGTCTCAGCCTCAGTAGGATGTTAGTCAGCCTCTAGAGTATGAAAGTTGAGTCATGAAGTGACTTTTGACTGATAACCACAGACGAGCTGCCGTTAACGGCGCAGCGGCCCCAAGGAACGTGAGCTGCTCGTTTTGTCTTTGTTATAAATGTGTGTTGGTACATTGATGTTTATAAAAACAGTACATGGACTCAGGGGGGATTCAGGTGAGAGTCTGGCTCAGGGGCTGTATGGGGGGACTTAGCGTTATCACTAAGAGCAGTTTAAGTTTAAAGTCTTATGTGAATTTGAAATAACACGACGTCGGTCAAACTACGATGTCATCTCATATTTTATAGTATAACATTTCTATCGGTAGTGAATTCTATAACTTAACGTTACATTTAAAGTAAACTCTCCCCGCTGTCGGATTTTTTGCTCATTTCCGTTAGACAAGCGCCTTAAAATGTGTTAAAATGAAAAAGCAGTGACATGAAAAACGTAAAAGTTATTCATTACTTTTGTGCGGCCCTCTACCAGATTGGCTAATTGCAATCTTAGGTTTGCTGCCCCTTTAGCTGTCTCGTTGTTGTTCTTTGCCATCAGGCACAGGTGGGAGTGATGTTTCGATGCAGACACACAAAAGATTTTCCAGCGATGATTGTGGTTGAGGTTTGTAGTTTATTGCAGGCAATTGTATAAACAGATGAACATACCGGTTGAACGTGCTCCTATTGATGGTGGTCTGTCTTCGTTGTCTGGTGAGAACTGTCTAGTGCTCCCCTACCTGTCCCTCGCTTCCTGTCACCTACGTCCCTTATGTACACCCATGTGCACCTAATCACCACCACCTAGTGTCCAAAGTGTCAATACAAATACAGTCTAACAAACAAAATATACTTTGCCAACAACAACACATAATGGCCCCTACAGAATGTCTGCTTTGGTTTTGCTTGCAGCTAGATGGCGGAAGACACAGTTTAACTATCCTGAGCCTCCACCCCCATTTTCACTACTGTGTAACACAGTATATCCATCAGATGGTTGTCTCATCCTCCCTCAGATTGCATCCTTGACGGTCAAGGAAGCCGAGACGAAAAAATGAAGCAAAACCATACTATGTCAAAGATGTTCCACTTTATGATCTATAACAAGATAAACGGAGACAATGTTTAGGTATCTGAAGCACAATGACAGAGGTGACGAAGGTTGATTATTAATGGTCTAGTTCAGCAGAGGGCGCTATGGCAATAAGATCAAGCCCCGCCTCTGTCTCCTATCACGTCCTCCGACTGGGTTTAAAAATCTGTGAACTAAGCCTACTTGCCCATCTTGTTTCAAACTTATCTGACAACATGAGCGGAAGAGGAAAGGGAGGAAAAGGACTCGGCAAAGGAGGCGCCAAGCGTCACCGTAAAGTCCTCCGTGATAACATCCAGGGAATCACCAAGCCCGCTATCCGCCGTCTGGCTCGCCGCGGCGGAGTGAAGCGCATCTCCGGTCTGATCTACGAGGAGACCCGCGGTGTGCTGAAGGTCTTCCTGGAGAACGTGATCCGCGATGCCGTCACCTACACCGAGCACGCCAAGAGGAAGACGGTGACCGCCATGGATGTGGTCTATGCCCTGAAGAGACAGGGACGCACCCTGTACGGCTTCGGAGGTTAAACACCAACTTCTGTTATAAACAACCAAACGGTCCTTTTAAGGGCCACGCACTCTCTGTGAGGAGCTGATTACCGTAATGATGAAACTAGGACATCAACATTAATGCAGATTCCAATGCATAGTTCTGTTAATGAATAATGCTCAGAGCTTTGTGTGAGACTGTGTTGATTGGCACATTTTTAATGCTTGCGTTTCATTTCTGAAAAATTAAAGAATTTTGCGGATTGCAGAAAGCCACGGTTCAACCATAGGATGGATAGATTCTTGATCCCTCAAGCGCGAAGTTTTGGTATACAGCATGTACAGGGAAGAAAATAGCATAAAAATATACACATTGTATACAATAGAAAGAGCAGCAACATCACAGGGTCATTATTTATGATTATCATGGGATGATTTATTGTAAAGTGTTATTGCTCTGGGCAGGAATGATGTCCTTGTGACAGCGGAACTGAAGGAGTTTGTTGGAGAACGCTCTCCGGTTGACGTGGTAGAGGGTGTGCCGCGAACGGCAAGGTTGGGGGTTCAAGGCTTGCTGCTCCATGTCCCATGTTGAAGTATCCCTGAGCAATATGACTTTTAACGTGTGTAAAATGATCGTTTCTTTATATATATATACAGACAGCCAACTCTTCCTGACTCCCAATATTACAGCAACAACACGATCCTGTAGATACTCTCTACAACATCAGGAGAATACGTCCTCTTCTCACCCAGAAGGCAGCGCAGGTACTGATTCAGGCTCTTGTCACCTCACGCCTGGACTACTGCAACTTCTCCTGGCAGGTCTCCCTGCTGCCGCCATTCAACCTCTGCAGCTCCAGAATCCAGAATGCAGCAGCTTGACTGGTCTTTAACCCTCCGAAATTCTACCACACTACTCCTCTCCTCCGCTCTCTTCACTGGCTACCGGTGGCTGCCCGCATCCACTTCAAAACCGTGCTGTGAATGGATCAAGTCCAGTCTACATCCAGTACATGGTCAAACCCTACATCCCAACCTCTGCTCTGCATCTGCCAAACTACTTGTCCCTCCCTCACTTAGTGTTTTTACATGATGGTATGATTCGATTTCAGTCTGACTAAGCCAGTTAATCTAATCCATGTAACCACGCTGACTGAGGCCAAAACACTTCTAAACATGCAACATCCTGTCCCAAAACCCCCAAAATGTAAAAAACCTTCACCCGGGAGAAACCTGAGGGGAAAGCAGCAGAGAAGTAGGTGTGCAGAGTATGAACAACTTACAGTGCATCCAATTCCTACGACAGAAATGATTCTAATATTGAGAGTAGTAGGCCAGGGGTAAGGCAGGACCACTGCAGGCACAGCTGTCATCAGATGCAACCTCCATCAGATGCAACCACCACCCACAGAAACCTGTGAGGAGGGAAAGCACAAAGACTTCAAGGAAAGGGCAAAGATGATATTTTGGGTTTATGATGACAGTAATAAACTAATAATGACAGCAGCAGGTGTGTTAGAACCCTAATTTATAGACTGTTTACTTATTACATTATAAACAAGATAACAATTCATCTGCAACTTATGGCATTTCTGGAGTAACATTTCCAGGTATATCACACAGTAACATGCTTTAAGCACACAGTAACTTACAATGTTTTGGCCCTCGTTTACAGACCAAAACTTGTTGAATTCAGCTCCCTTGCAATCTGTATTTAGCCCCCATTGCTTTAAAAAGGTATTTTCAATATGAAATGGGAAAGACAATAACATGTATAGGTACAGTAGCAACCTAACACATTACCAACACCAAACACTGCACCCGGTCGAAGCTCTGCAGGCGTCGACACGTGAGTCCGTAGTTTAATATTTATGACGTTTTAAGTGAAATATTAAATAGGTTAAAAATAAGTCTTCTTGTAGACCAAATTTCGCCAACCAGTTCAATATATATTATGAAAATCTAATGTAGTCTCTTTTAACCTTACGTTACAACATGACACATTTATCAACAAATTTGACATTTTCTGGCACGTTGAGGTTTCATCCAATTTTTAGCGGGTTGAAAAGACGTTGAAATGAGGTCTTTCATTTCAACCATATT